TTTTGCACTTGATAGAAGCTCAAATTTCCTAGATCTATTAGAAAATGAAAAATCCATCAACATGCAACATATCGTTCTACATCTAGGCATTAAAGACAACTCAAAGTAAAGTCAAGACAACTCAAAGTAAGGTCAAAAACAACATGCAATCATTATACTTTAAAATCACCAAATTTTACTCTTAAACAACTTTAAGATCTACAACTTCATCAATTATTATCTCATTGATTCAATAAGTATCAACTACAAATTAAGTGATTCTAGGCAACAACAATCATTATGCATCAACTATTATTCAAAATACAAAATTTTCCTTATCTCTAGTTGATCAATCGAGAAGAGGAGAAGGAGAAGAAAGGAACTCCACAAAACCTCTAACTTGATATTTTCAACTTTAAGAGTTCGAATCTCCAACTTAGTCAAACAAATCAACTATAGAAAAGGAATAAGGGAAATATTTCAGTATAGAAAGATGGAGAAGAACACTTGAGTTCTAGAGAACTTCTTACTAGTTTCTCTTTAAAATTAATTTTCATAAAACATGAATTTATGAGATTTAAGTAAAATTCTTATATATCTTTCTTTAAACTAAACCAAATTAACATTTGACTCAACTACTACAAAAACAACTTAACTCTTTGAGCTCTAAAATAACACAAGAATATTTAATCACATATAATTAAATTAAAACACCTAAATTACACAATATTACATATAAAAAGTAATTTATAATGATGATTTTTAAAAAATATTAAAATAATTATCTTTATATTTGTATAGATATTAAAACTTGATACAATGATAGATTGTCTTCAAGAAAGAAAATATATGTCACAAAAGAAAATAAACATTTTTAAGAAAAACTAGAAAGCAAAATACAGTTGAGGACACATTATAAAATTTTCAATTCATGCACGTGTGTTGTATCATTACTGTTCTAACACGTTTTATTATCTGTCTCTTTTTAATTTTTTTTTCACAAATTATTCAATGCATCTGAACGCAAATATTTTATATCATTATACAAATATTTCTCTGACATTATATCAAATCATGTATTGCATCCGGAAATCATTCAACTTTATATATAAAAAATGAAAATCGAAACGTAAAGGTTACTCAAGTTGTACGTTCTAGTATAGTACATGCATGTTTCTCAACAAATTGCATGATTAAATTACGTTATTATTTGTCTTAAGCAAAACAGGGCACAAATAACATGTTTAGGAAATTAGATTTTCGTTCTGAAACTATGAGTAAAAATTTGTTGCTTTATACATTTCTTTTTATCATCGAAAAAAAATATAAGATAAATTAAGGTTTAACAAAAATCACACTCATAATATCAATTAAAGTAATAAATCTTAACCCAGAGAAATCTATACATATTTTAAGTGTGTGTGACAGTTTTTTCTAGTCTATATATTTTTATTTTATTTTTTATTTGTGTAATATATTTACCACTTACCATCACTTTTTTGATTTGTTTTGCGAGGATAGTGACTAAAATAACTACTATATTTGGAAGAAAAAAAACCTAAAATTAGAAAACTGAAAATAAAAATATTATCTTTTCAAAAATAAAAAATAAAAAAAAATTATTTATAAAGACTATTTGCAGAAATATAAAATATACCATTTATTGGAAAAAAAAAAACTTTTTTTTTTACGCACAACAATGATGATAAAAAACATATCAAAATAACATCATAAAAGAAATAGTAAATGATCACACAAAGTTATTTAACGTGGTTCAACTCCCTCATGCATACGTTCACAAGAATATTCATTATTTATTTCAAAATGTGTTACATATATATTGAAAATCCTCCCTGCAAGTTTTGTGGGTTAAACTTAAAAACTCATTCATCACAAATTTTATAGGTGAAACTTGGAAATCCCTTACTCACAAATTTTCTGGCGAAACTTGAAAATCATCATTTACAAGTTTTCTAGCGAAACTTGGAAACCCTCCTTCATATGACATCCTCTCTCATTTAAGGCAGTGACTCCTTCTACAGGTCAGGTAGTTCTTCTCATCTCAAGAATCTCTATTTATTGACCTTACATCACTATTTTTAAAAAAGAAAACAAATCTCTAAAATAAATACAATATATTTCAATTCTAAAAAATATCCTAAAAAAATTAATATCTTTTAAAATCTAAATAATATCTTAGAGATTTAAATTTAAAATTTAAATTGTTTTTCCAATACCATCGTTAACAAGAAGTTCATAATCTGGAAACTAGAACAAATAAGGACAAACATTACATAGACGAAAATAGATAGTCTTCACATATTAAAAAAATGTTATATTTGCATGAATTTCAATATATTTCAGCCAAACTTTTTCTGTTTTTTACTTTTGTCCAAATTATCGTTACGAGTTTCTAATAAAAATTTAAAAATCCTATAAAACTTCAATTTACATATAAAATATGTAAAAACAAGAAATATAATTGGTATATGCATGAAAAACAATAAATATACGATTAGCATGCACTTCCTCTAAAATAAATTAGTATATAAACTATTTATATATAATTTACTTTATAATTTATTTTAATTTTTAATATATTATGAATTGTTATTTTAGTGATTTTTATTGCATTTGATATTGTTCTTACCTTTAAATTTGTTAATTTAATTTTAAAAATTATATATTTTTAAATATTATAATTTATTTTGATGTACTTTTAGTATCTTTTTCTTTATTGTTTTTTTTATATATTTCAATTCATTGTTTTTCGTTCATTGCAATATAATTTATTTGTCAATATATCACAATGATTTTATCTTTAAAGACAAAAATAATGTATTAAAAATAATTTATAATGTTATGTGTGAATTGTTGTTACATAATGGAATGGAATGAATCGATAAAAACATCGGACCGAAATGGATTAAAAATATCATTCTATTATTTAAATAACGAATGGAATAAATATTTTATTTCATCATTTGGATAGAAATGGAATTATGTAAATTGTAACTTTTTAATTTCTATATTATCCTTTTTTTTAACTTTTTTTCTTTTTTTTTCATAAAAAATCAATGTCAATTAATCAAAGAACACATATTTACTATGCACATTATTCCTTTATCCTCCTTCGAATTGATTCAAAAAGCACAACATATTTTTTTTCCTTGGAGGTGGGCAAATGTAAGTGTACTCTGATAAAGAAAACAACAAGCATGCATGAATACTAGCATGTTCACTTTTTTCCTTTTTAATGCATTTTTTTACTAATTAATAAACTAACACTAAAGAAAACTAGACAAACAAAAGACAAGGAAACCAACTCAAAAATTAAAAATTAACAGCAAATTACATATAAAAATAAGATCATAGCAAGTAAAAGCTAATAAAAATTAGTAAGTCATAATGTTATGGTGAAAGTAAAGACTAAAGTAATTAATCTAGTGTCTAATCTCAAATATATTACAGTGAAATGATATTTCTTTTAAATAAGAAAAGGAGTTGTTTATGACACTTATAATATAATTAGATTAAATTAGACATTTTATAATTTAGAAAAATTAGATTCCATACCCCAAATTGGAAAGAAAGAGATTGCGATTAAACAATAAAATGAGATCCACCGATCCTTATATTTTTTCTTTCTCTATCATCTTTAATTTTATAAGCCAAATAATAAGATATTATTATATAAGTGAATTTAATGATATAAGTTTTAAGTCTTTAATTAATAATAAATTTATTTAAATGTTAAAATTAAAAATAATCATTATTTTTAAAAAAATCAATTTAGTCTAAATTTAAGAGATAAATAACTAAAATAACTATTTTAAAAAAATAAAAGACTAAGATGAATCTAATAAATAAAATAAATAATTAAAAATATAATTTAATCTAAAAAAATATTATGAACCCAAAAATGACAACAACAAAAAAACTGTAAAGACTAATATTATGAATTAAAAAATTTCCAGAAATTGAATCCTTTGTCCTAATTGTTATAAAATAATATTAAAAAAAATCTTGATAAAAGAGGAAGATTATTGCCGTAGAATATAAAAAAAATATTTTAACAAATATTGATTGGTATCTAAAAATACTATTTCAGAAATTAAAGTAAAACTTTTATTTAAATATTATATCGTTGATACATTTTTAATGTACTTTAAACGTGACTTTCATCCAAAAAAATAATTTATTGGTTTTTATTTTTATTTTAAGACATTCATTTAGATAACCATGGTATAGTATCTAACTTTTATCTTAGGACATTAATTAAAGAGACATAATATTTTTATTATTTATTGAAATTGAAAAATAACATATTATAAAAAGAAATTTAAAATAAAACAAATTTACTAAATTATGAATAAAGAAAATGAAAGGTTTAGTATTGATAAAGAAATTCATAATAATAAAAAAACGAACAATAATTTTAATAAAAATCTTTTACATTTAATTTTTGACGCCCGTCAAAGCCAAAGCATCAAGTAACTAATCCTGGCCAGGCCGCAATACAAAAGTGATTAAAATTTAAGGCTATGATATATACATTTTTTTTTTTTAATAAGTATATCTCCTTTTTTTTAAAAAAGTATAAAATATTGTAGAACTTTTTTTTAATTTTTCTAATTTTACACTTCGAACATTTAATTTACTCTTTTTTTTCTTATATATATTTTTTTCTCATTCAATTTTTACATATTACCAAAAATCTAAAATAGGTAGAATGAAAAAATAATAATAAAAAAAAACATGTAAAAATTGAAGAAAAAAAAGTGTAAAAACAAGATAGAGGGGATAATTTTAGGGCGAAAAACAGTAGGGAAAAAGAAAGTATAGAAAGAAAGCGAGAAGGACAAAGGAAGACCCACACGAAGACCCGAAATACAAAAGAGAAAAATAAAAAAAGAAAAAGCGAAAACGTGGAAAGAAAAGTGGTGAGCGGCGCGTGTAGGTCAGCTGCCAATCATGATCTGGGGGTGGGTGGGACGCGCGTAAAGAGGGGCGTGAAAAAGCGTCTTCCTTTTTAGTGTCATTCATCTGAGAGAGTGGAGTAGCCGTACGTGTATCTGCTCCACTCTCATTCGCTTTGCTATTTCGGTCTCACTCACACCCTCTTTTCCTTATAATTATAACCCACCCCCCACGCCACCGGATCGCATGGAACCTCGCCGGAAACTCAAATTCCGGCCACCCACCGGCTAAATGCCCCCTCCCGAAGGACACGATGACACCAAACACGTCAACGTCAACGTCAACGTGATCACCCCATTGTTCCGCATCAAGCATCACGTTTTCCGTTACACTCCGAATGGCGGCGGCGACGAACGCCGGCGCGTTGGTGGAGTCACCCTCGGGCGAGGAGGCGACGGCGAAGACGGCGCAGAAGCGGTACGAAGGCCTCCTAATGGTTCGAAACAAAGCGATAAAGGGAAAAGGCGCATGGTACTGGACGCACCTGGAACCCTTGCTCGTCCACAACAACGAAACGGGACTCCCGAAAGCGGTTAAACTCCGTTGCTCCCTATGCGACGCCGTTTTCTCGGCCTCGAACCCCTCCCGCACGGCCTCCGAGCACCTGAAGCGTGGCACGTGCCCCAATTTCAACTCCTCAGCCGCCAAACCAATTTCCTCTGTCTTCCCCGCCAGCGTGGTGCCTCCTTCTCCTTTTCTGGTTCAGCACAACCACCGCAAGAGAACCACCACTTCCCCTTCCGGTTCGGGTTCCGGTTCGGCCTACCCCGTTCCCAGCCGCTTCGGCTCCCAGCAACCGCATTTGATGCTCTCCGGTGGTAAGGAGGATTTGGGCGCGCTGGCCATGTTGGAGGACAGTGTGAAGAAGTTGAAAAGCCCCAAAACTTCTCCTGGGCCTGCTCTGAGCAAGGCCCAAATCGACAGCGCTTTTGAGTTTCTGGGCGATTGGGTTTACGAGTCCTGCGCCTCCGTTTCCTTCACCAGCTTGGAGCACCCCAAGTTCCGCGCTTTTCTGGCCCAGGTTGGTTTGCCGGCTGTTCTCCCCCGCGAGTTCATCGGAGCCAGGCTGGACGCGAAGTTCGAGGAGGCCAAGGTTGAGTCGGAGGCTCGGATAAGGGATGCCATGTTCTTTCAGATTGCCACGGATGGGTGGAAGTGGAATGGGAATGGGAATGGGGAGAGTTATAATTATAACCAAGGGTTGGTGAATTTGAGCGTGAATCTTCCGAATGGGACCAGTTTGTACAGAAGGGCGTTGTTTGTTACTGCTTCTGCTCCTTCCAACTATGCGGAGGAGGTTTTGTGGGAGACAATCACTGGCATTTGTGGGAATCTGGTGCAGCAGTGTGTAGGGATAGTTGCGGACAGGTTCAAGGCCAAGGCCTTGAGGAACCTCGAGAATCAGAATCATTGGATGGTTAACCTCACTTGTCAGTATCAGGGCTTCAACAGTTTGATCAAGGACTTGGCCAAGGACCTTCCCTTGTTCACCACTGTCGCTAACAACTGTCTCAAGCTTGCTAATTTTGTCAATTACAGGTCTCAGGTCAGGACCTCCTTCCACAAGTACCAGCTGCAGGAGTACGGCCACACCTGGCTCCTCCGCCTCCCGCCCCCCCACCGCTTCGAATTCGTCTCCGTCTTTGCCATGATGGAGGACACCCTCAGCTCCGTTCGCGCCCTGCAGCTGGTGCTGCTGGATGAGGGATTCAAGATGGTCGCCATTGAGGACCAGGGTGCAAGGGAAATTGGGGACATGATTAGAGATGTTGGGTTCTGGAATGAGCTGGAGGCTGTTCATGGTTTGCTTAAATTGGTCAAGGACATGGCTCAGGAGATTGAGGCTGAGAGGCCTCTGGTTGGGCAATGCCTTCCCCTTTGGGATGAGTTGAGGACCAAAGTCAAGGATTGGTGCTCCAAGTTCCACATTGCAGAAGGGTTGGTGGAGAAGCTTGTTGAGAGGAGGTTCAAGAAGAATTACCACCCTGCTTGGGCTGCTGCTTACATTCTTGACCCTCTTTACTTAGTGAGGGACACTAGTGGGAAGTACCTTCCGCCGTTTAAGTACTTGACTCCCGAGCAGGAGAAGGATGTGGACCGCCTCATAACCAGGCTTGTTGCGAGAGATGAAGCTCATATTGCTCTCATGGAGCTCATGAAGTGGAGGACGGAAGGGCTTGACCCGGTTTATGCTCAAGCTGTTCAGATGAAGGAGAGGGATCCTGTCACTGGGAAGATGAGGATTGTGAATCCACAGAGTAGTAGGCTTGTGTGGGAAACTTATTTGACTGAATTCAAGTCCTTGGGGAAAGTTGCAGTGAGGCTCATTTTCCTTCATGCAACCTCGTGTGGCTTCAAGTGCAATTGGTCTTTGTGGAGATGGGTTTGTGCTCATGGCCACTCCAGGACTGCACTCAACAAGGTGCAGAAGTTGATATTCATTGCAGCTCATTCCAAACTTGAGAGAAGGGATTTTTCCAACGATCAAGATAAGGATGCAGAGCTGTTTTCCTTGGCAAATGGTGAGGATGATGTGTTGAACGAGGTCCTTGTTGATACATCCTCGGTGTAACATTTTTTTCTTCTTTCTTTTTGGGTTAATTAATCAGCTAGGAATTTTAATTTTTTAGGATTTATTGAATTCTTTCCGCTACCCTTTTCTTTTTCTTCTTCTCTTTTTTTTTTTTTTTTTAATGTCTTCTTCCATCTTTCTCTTTTATCCCTTCGCATTTTGAACACTCACTGCAAGGACTTTGAGCGACTCTCCATCTTTTACCCTGGCATGATCGTCAAGTTGTTAAATATGGGAAAGCGGGAAAAGTTGTAACGCCAGAGACCGATTACAGAACCGGAAGGATGTTGTAGAAATTTTATTCCTCTTGTAGTTTGAGATAAATAATATTTGTAAAGGGGAAGTTTTTATCGATTCTCCTTTGATTTTAAGACCGTTTCCCCACTCAAACTTTCTCACCATATTTGTAAATTCAGAAGCAAGCATGCATGCATTTTCGAGGGGACTTCATTGTCAAAACAATGTTCTTCTGTTTTGCATCTTTCGCTAAAAGCTGCGATCGATGCCTATGAATGCATATTTAGTTTTAGTTTGTGTAGCCTCTGGCATTAGAAATTGTCTTAATGCGATGTGATTTATTTATCTCTCAATCTTGTGTTTATATAAGAATCTTCAAAGGTGTCCTTTGCATTTGTAAAATCTGGAAAGGTGCTTCGCTTTCAATCACTCCTAGATTGGAGTCTGTCCATTCCAAAGGCAATCAGCTTTCTGTCCCTAAGTCAAAGTTGAGAATGAATCATCCTAATCTCCTCCTCAAGTTGCATAAGCCATGTGATGTAACTTTATGGCCACTTAATCAGTCGCCAGGTTGATTCCTTAATTATCTTGCTCTCCAGATTTTTTGTCAGCAGAATAATACAAAGAAGCTAGGTACTTTGATCCTTCCTCGTTTGTTATCTAAAGCTGTTGTCCGGCCACAAATTAACTTCACTTTCCGCTGGCAAAAGTCTCTTCTTCAACCTCAGTTTACAGGGAATTGAATAACAAGGATACTACTATATACTAAACGATCTTTTTTGGTTAGCTCCAAAAAAGAAAAAGAAAATTAAAAATTGACGTTACCTAATGTGAATTTTTTTAACTCTAATCATATTTTCATTAAATAAAGCGGCATTTAAAATGGAGTTCTTAAGTAGCAAAACATGGAGGGTTCTGTTACATATACCTCTGAAGTATGGCTAAGCCACTTATTCATATTGTGGTTATATATATATATAAACGAATTCATGGATGTAACCTAGGGGCACCGTAGCTATACCCAGGAATAAAAACGTTGTACTTGTCGAGAACTTTCCTGTTTTGATGTTGAAAAGTGTGGAGAGCGAGCCATGAAATTGTTGGTTGGTGGTAGAACTTGTTGGACCATTATCAAGAGGAGTTAACCAAAAGTATCCGATAATGGAATTGACTTGAAATCTTTTTGGCACTAAGGAGTCCTTACTAGTCAAGCGTCAAACACATGATTTCTCAAACTCGAGAGAAAAGGGTTTGATTACCAAGTGGCAGGTCTACCTAAATCTATCCAATCTTTCTCTTCTGGTCTCAACTATGAACCCACCATGAAACAAACCAAAACATTTTACGTGTTCATGAAGCAGCAATTAATGCATGCTTTTTTTAAAAGTTTTATACCATTGATTTTAGACTCGTCCACGTAGATTTCACGCACTCTCAACTTAAAATTAACAGTGAAGATCTCCTCGAAACATTTCAGTTGTTGTTCCGAGAGTGTTTTATAATTTTAGAATTTCCCACGCACACAGTGAAAGTCTTTTTCCAAGCATTACTTGTTATACATTAGATATCAAAGTTTTACCGAGTCAAATCATTAATTTTTGTGGTTTGGCAAGGTTCTTTTTTAAACATTCCAAAGGTTCCCCGTGACGACCATGATTTTGTGAGAAAGGTTCTGAGAAGACCTGCAAGGGAAGATTGTCGGCATGAAGCAGCACAGAAGATGCTGAGGAGCATTCTTCAACAACGAAGTTTAACAAAGTTTTTCTTTTTTCCCTTTTCTGTTTCAAATTCTTATCCTCACTTTACATGTGATAGTGGGGTTGAAAGAAAATTTATTAAATTGATTTGTCTGCTAAAGTCCCATTCCTTAAAGTCCTAAACTGCTTTCAAGAACTGTTTGTTGAAGGAGAACAAAGGTGCTCGTAACAGTTAATTGCAAAGTGAAAGGGAGGGATTTATCATTTATGTTGTTGTTATCGCATGTATCAAATTCAAACGACAGCATCACAGATGGATGCTCATTCTTTTGAAATAACAACATAATAACATCATAGAAGTAGATAAGTCCAACACACAGTTCGCTTAGCAGTTGTATCTGTATCAAGGGGTGGAATCCAGCACGATCAAGTGAAATACGTAGATTAGGTTTTTTCCCCACTTACATATTACAAAGCACAAACAAAATTTTGATTCAACCAGAAACGTATAAGATGTCATATAATTTATTCATCTTTTCTTCTTCCCTCCTTTAGGTTTTAAATTAGGTTATACTAGTACTAGCATAAAAATAATTTTTAGTGATAATTTTGTGGTGACAAAAATGTAATTATCATTAAATCAATTATAAATTACATGATTTAATAGTTAATAAATATTAATCGTTATAATTTATTATTTATTAAACATTATTTTATGGATGTAATCAATTTAATTAAGTTTTTTTAATAATTTAGTGAATCTTTATTAATATTTTATATAAATGTCGATAATAATATTAACAAACTCTAGATATATTAATTATTATTTAATTATTGATAAAAAAATAATAATAATTATTTATGTAGTTCTTAAAAGACAAAACAGTGGTTGCAAAAGATAATTTGGTGTAATATAAATTTAATATTGCAACCAAAGTAGTTAAACAAGCTTCGTGCTCCTTTTTATTTCATTGAAAAAAAAAGTGATTTTTTTAAAATGATATAAAGTGAACTTGCAAGCAAAAATTTTCAATGGAAACGAGCTCAAAACTCAATTAGGGGTTGGGGGGGGGGGGGGGAAATAAAAAAAAC